ACACGAGAGACAAATACAGGAGGACACACGAGAGACAAATACAGGAGGACACGAGACAAATACAGGAGGACATGAGAGACAAATACAGGAGGACACGAGACAAATACAGGAGGACACGAGAGACAAATACAGGAGGACACGAGACAAATACAGGAGGACACGAGACAAATACAGGAGGACACGAGAGACAAATACAGGAGGACACGAGACAAATACAGGAGGACACGAGAGACAAATACAGGAGGACATGAGACAAATACAGGAGGACACGAGAGACAAATACAGGAGGACACGAGACAAATACAGGAGGACACGAGAGACGTCTCATCACAAATACTACAAGTACTTTGTCCAGCCAGTCCAGTAGTACTTTGGCATGCTAGCCCACAAGTACTTTGTCCCACCTATTCATTAGTACTTCATCCCACCTGTCCTCAAGTACTTTGTCCCAACCACAGGTGGGACAAAGTACCTGTTCTAGTACTTTGTCTTACCTGTCCTCAGGTGTTTTGGTCCACCTGTCTACAGGTAATTTTGGACCTTTTTTTAGACACTCTGTCCTCTGCAGAGACACTCTGTCCTCAGCAGAGACACTCTGTCCCCTGCAGAGACACTCTGTCCTCAGCAGAGACACTCTGTCCCCTGCAGAGACACTCTGTCCCCTGCAGAGACACTCTGTCCTCTGCAGAGACACTCTGTCCCCTGCAGAGACACTCTGTCCTCTGCAGAGACACTCTGTCCTCAGCTGTCTCACACATCATGATAAGTCCTGTGACTTTCTGCCCGTCTGTCTTTAAGATGTTTTTATTACCGTAGATTACGGATTTATTCCAGTATTTTTAATGTTTACGAGACACAAATGATTTTAAATTTAGCTTCGTGTCACTTCCACCAGTCTGAGTAACGTCTCCTGAAGCTGAAGCTCTCTGACTGCGTCTGTTTTTCTTTATTTTTATCATCAGCAGCATCTCAGAGATAACTCGTCAGTTAATCCTCTCCTCGATGGCAGCGGCCGATAGCGCAGATGTTTTCTCACCACCAACATGTGTTCCTTTTCACACAGCAGCAGCTTCCCCACCACTTAATGAGATTGTGGTTGTTGGCTTTAAAATCTGCCCCGAACACAACAAACACTTTTCCTAGAAGTGGTTTTGATTTGCACCCGAGGAATTTGTCTCAGAGTTTCACAACAAAACATCCCGGGTCAGAGGCTAAGACTGGCCTCCAGGAACGAGCAAGAAAAAAAAAACTGCGTTTTACAGATTAAAAGCAGGATCATCTCTGCTCAGGGCATCGCTTTGCTTCTAAAGAGATTATTAAAGGAAGATACAGAGCTCTGTTACGTACCGCAGTCACTTCTGTCTCTGTCAACAGAATATCTTTTCAAACACCGGAGAAGGTTCTCACAGTTGTGATTGGACTCGATCAAATTCAAGATGGCCGCTCCAAGGAGCTGACCTTATATTGGGCTAAAATTTGGTGTGGTGGTAGCTGAGAGTCATCCCAACAATATGCATTATTATTGCCTGAGATAATAGTATTAACTTTGTTTAAGTGTTAGCAAAATATCTCAAACAGGACAGATTTTAATGGAACTTTAAGGAAACAAACTACGCAATGTACCTTCAAAATGGCCGCCACAGCCACACAGAAGCAGCTACATGTCAGTCAGGTTTACAGATATTGAGCTAAAATTTTATGTGGTAGTAGCTGAAGGTCTTCAATAACAATATTTAATATTATTTCTTAAAATAATGTCAGCGCTGTCTATGTGTTAGCAAAACATCTCATGAACCACAAGACAAATTTTAAAATTTAGCTAAAAAAGTCAGATGATGTACCTCAAGATGGCGGCCACAGCTACACGAAAACAGCTGTTTTACAGTTACTGAGCTTCAGTTTGGTGTGGTAGCAGCTGAGAGTCATCCCTTCAGTATGCAGTATTGTTTAAAATAATGGTGTCAACACTGTCTCTGTGTTAGCAAAATATCTCATGAACCACAGGATAGATTTCAATGAAATTTTTAGGAAATAATTGCAGAATGTAGCTCAAAAATGGCCACCAAAGCCACACAAAAACTGCTACGTTTCAGTCAGTTTTACAGATACTGCACCAACATTTGGTGTGGTAGTAGCTGAGAGTCATCACAGATAGATGGACATATAAATCTAAAAAAGAAGACTCACTATGTTGTTAATGTATCAGTAAAAATTACAAAATGAGTTTAAAACTGGTGAGGGGTGATGTGCATTCCTTCAAGCACGTCTAGTTTTTTGTTAATTATTTTTTTACACAGAACTCTGCTTCAAAAGGCAGAATTATCCCTTTAAATATCATAACTCCCTCTGGATGTGGTTTTGCTCTGTTAAAATTCAGTTTCTGTTTTCATCTAACAGATTTTTTGGCTCGTGAGTTTTGTATTTTCATCTCCCGTTCACGGAGAGAGAGCGACAGGCTGAGTGGATGTTGACATATTCTTCGGCTGATTTAATGACCTGCTTAATTCTGGCACGTCTGCAGCCCTCTCAGATGTTTAGCAGTTTTAATTAGCGTAATTGTCACTCTTAAAAAAGGCCACAGGGTTGTTTAATGGGTCATGTTTGTCAAGATGCACAGAATTATAACACAAAAGACGTGTCATTTATTCAGCACTGCAGTCTTCCAGTCATTATGGGTGTCACAGTTGATAATTAGAGGAGGAATTGATTTATCTGAGAGCTAAATTGGACCTCTGCTGTGTGAGGAAATTAGTTTGACAGTGTTTGGATGAGCGGTGTTTACACTGCGGCGGCGTGCACACGCTCGCTGACGGTAACGAAGCATCTGGAGAAACACCTGGATGTCTCTGGTGAAGACGTCGTCTGAAAATTTCGTCCCCAAAAGTTCTGATTCCAAATTCCAGTTCAGAGTTTCACAACAAATACGGCGGTGAATTTTGGCCAATCAGGAAAAACGAGGAAGGAAGTTTTTAAACTGAATTTCAAATTTATAGACCAAAAAAAAAGTTGCAAATTCAGAAATACAGACAAACTATTTTAGCTTTTTTTCTATTAGAACTATTTTTATTAATAAAATGTATAAATTTTTCGTTAAATTGCAAATTTTATGCAAGTTTTTTTGTTTTTACGCCTTTTCTGTCAACAAAATTGTGACTTTTGGGTGTCGATAAAATATAAATCTTTTGTTTTAACATTTAAAATTTTTCCATTATTAAACTCAGACTTTTGCTATCAACAAAATTGCAGTTTTTTTCCCGCAAATTAAATGACTACTTTTGTTTTCTGTCAGCAACATTGCGACTTATTTCTCACCATTTAAATTGAGGCGTTTTTTGTCTTTTAGAATATTTTCTGTCAACAAAATTGCCACATTTTGATGTTGAAATTACGACTTTTTTATACAGTCAATTAAAATGGCTTTGCTGTCAACAAAATTAATTTTCTTACATTATAAATTGCAACTTTTTTGTCAACAAAAATGACTTTTTCCGTAAATATGCACTTTTTTTGCTGTTACCAAAACTGTGACTTTTTGTCTGTCAATAATGTTGTTTTAACATTTTGAAATTTTTTCCATTAATTAAAATCTGACTTTTTAATATCAACAAAATTAAGACTTTCTCTTCTGTTCTGTCATTTCAAAAAAATTTCCATTAATTAAATTTTTAATTTTTATTCTCAACAAAATCGCAAAACTTTTTGTCTTTTAAATCACGACTATTGCACTCATTTTCCGTCAATGTTCCTTTTTTATTTCAACAAAACTGTGATCATTTTCATTCTTTTAAATGGTAATTTTCTTGTCAACAAAATTGCAATTTTTCTTTTGTGAAAAAACGTTACTTTTGTCAGTGTAATGAATACTTTATTCTCAAAACCTGAAAAAGCTCTTCCTCCTTAGTTTCTTTTCTGAGTGACCTTAAAACTCAAAAAAAAAAATTAGGTCAACAGTTGTGATTTATAAAAATGCACTTTATCAGAAATTAAAACCCTTCTTTATGTAGGTTACATATAATCTCAGAGTTTGAAAACTGCTTGGAAAGCATCAGTCTTATCATTTAGCATAACTTGTTAAAAAATTAAATGAACTTTCATTTAGCATAACTTGTTAGACAAAAAAAAATTAAATGACTTTTTGTCATTTTCTTTTACTTTTTTCCCCCCGTGATTGTGAGAGAAAGCATTCCCACACAAATATGCTGAGCCGGCACTCATTTTTTATTCATCCTCATTTTCCAAAGCACACATTTCATTTTTATCTGAATGAATTATTAACCGAGTTAATGAATATTTCAGTTTTCTTTAATGAATCATTTAACGGTCCCGGCAGAGGTAATGACATCTTAAGTGGTCGGGGAACCGGCAGAAAGGTGGAGGTAAAACGTCCTTCAGTTTTACCGGACAGTTCGGTAAAAAATTTTATGGTTGTTGAAGTTTTAACCCCTTAGAGATTAACTGTTAACTGTTAATATTGTCTGCGATTACAATAAACACCTGTTTAATAAAGAAGACTTTTATTAAATAACTACATTATTAGCATAACATCTACAAAAAAGTCAAACATAACGTAGAAACATAACATGTATTAACCCACCACTTTTTGTTTATTTGCTAAAATGTAATGTTTGAAAACGATTTTAAATTCAAGTTCTCTCTTCAGTGATGCTCAGAACTACAGATCCATATTTATTCACTGTTGACTCCAGTGAAGTTGAACATGTTGCTGCAACGTTGGAAGCTTGTCTGAAACTTTTTACATCTCCGATGAGAAAAGAAGCCAATTTGAGTCCAAACCCAAAGGAGCTCCAAAGTCTCCCAACAAAGTCCCTCCACTCCAGCTCCTCAGAAACCTCGCCTCCACACTGACAATG